GGAGAACAAGACAAAACTTGGTTAAAAGTAAGTAAATAAATAATATAAAATAAAATTATATATTATACATACAGTACTGAATATATATTTATATAATTTAATTATTAGATCCATCAAAGATATTGTTTTATACCCCAAACAATTGTTCGTAAAAGCAATGTAATGTTTGTATTACATGCTGTGCAACCAAACATGTTCTAGCAATGAGACCGATTATCTCTATAAAATTCCTTGCACATGTTCAGATAAATTTACTAAATTTTTTATTTGAAATTTAATACAATTAAATTTCTAAGTTTAATAATAAAAAAAATTTTTAAGTTGATACCATTAATATGACAGCTGTGTCTGATGGCAAATTTAATTATATCATTCATATTAGGGATCATTTTACAAGATTTTCATATGCAAAGCTTGCAAAATCAAAAATAGCAAAAGAGGCTGCGGGTATTTTTTTACGGCTCTGTTTAAATTATGGCTCACTATTAATCTTACACACTGATAATAGTAGTGAGTTTGTTGGAGATATTATGAAAGAAACTGTAAAACTTTGGCCAGCAATTAAATTTATATACAAAAAACCAAAGTATCTACAATGCCAAGGTTCTGTCGAAAAAAGCAATAATATACTTCAGTCCAAATTAGAAGCATGGATGGAGGAGACTAAATGTAGTAATTGGAGTATTGGGTTACCTTTTGTGATCTATGCGTATTTTTTATTATTTGATTGTTTATATTTAATATTAAAATCATTTTAATTATTTTAATTCTATATTATAGAAGCAATGAATACTCAAGTATACAAAGCAACAAAAGCTACACTATACGAATTGGTATATGGACAAGAAGCTTGTTCAGATTTACCAATAATCTCAATGCTTCATCAGCAAAATATTATACATGAAGAAAACATTCAATTAGAAAATCAACCACTTAATTCTGATCATCAAATACCTAATTCTATTTATAATGATACTCAATTATCTAATCTTACTCATGATAATATTCAATCATCTAATTTTACTCACAGTGACACTCAATCATCTAATACTATTTATAATAATACCCAATTGTCTAATTCTATTTACAATGATACTCATAATAATACTCAATTGCTTAATTCTATTTATAATAATACTTAGTTGTCTAATTCTACCAATGACAAGATTCAATTATCTAATTTTAATTGCGAAGATATTCAATTGTCTAATTTTACTCATGAAAGTAATAATGTTTATTTATTTATTTATTTATTTATTTATTTATTTATTTATTTATTTATTTATTTATTTATTTATTTATTTATTT